CTCCCCGCCGCTCCGCCGGGCGCCACGACCGAAACCGATCCCCCCTCCACCCCCCAAAAAGCAGCCATCCGACCCCCGCGAGGAGCGGCAGCCAGGCCCCGCTGCCCCGCGCGGCGCAGCCTCGCACGCTACCGCTGCGAATACGCGCGGTGCTTTTGCCTCCCAACTTCTGAACAGCCGGTGGCAGCTCAAGGCAAGGCGCAGGGATGGCGCAGGGATGCTCCTTCAAACACGTCCGAGCTGCGGAAGTGTCAATGAAGTCTGACTTTTATGGAGAGATTAAAAACAACTCGCCTATTACCAGCCAGAGCTTTTGCTCACAAGACATTGGATGAAGTAAAAAATACTTCTTTTAATACAGAGGCAGAAAACGGGATAGCTCTGATAACTCACTGTTTTTAAATCCTGCTGCTAAGTCATTTCACTGCAAGGAAGGTGACTGCAAAATTATGTTTATTTATTTGTCTCATTCTTTCAAGCTTTTCTTCTTCAATTAAATTATTGTCTTTCACTAATAACATACCAGTCCTTCCCCCTCCATTTTCATCTCTTTTGTTCTCACTCCTTTCAGCCGCTCCTAGGAAGCTGCAGGCTTTCACAGAGGTCTTAGGCTGGACCAGCAGATTCTGGTCAAATTACAGCCCCGGTAATTGCATTTTGCCCCCTGAGCTTCACTGCTGCTCCCAGCGAGTTATTTCCCACCCGTGTCCCTTTCCCACCTCAGCCCACAGCCAGAGCCACACCACTGCACGGGCAGGGTGCAGAGGTGGTTCCCATACACCTCGTGCCCTACCCCAGAGAGGATTAGTAACCCAGAGCAGCCAACCCTTGGAAAAGCTTGTCATTATCAAGATGAAAAGTGGGATTGCAGCAGGACAGGTTCTGCGTCGCCTGTATCAACCCAGCTGGACGAACGAGAAGAAACTTGCAGGAATTTGAATGATGGAGTTTGAGATGCTCCATCTCAAAACCTGATCAGCAGTTACCCAGAGCTGTCAGCTCTAGCACGTTCGGTTTGGGGAGAGGAACACACCACGGACAGTTGTGACTGATGATGGATTTCATACAATCGACCTGCATCGCCCAGAGCACCCATTGCCCAAGACACCCCCGTGCTGTGGGTCAGCGTTGAGGCATGACGAGGAACAGGGATCGTCTGGGGAAGGAGTTAAAACCACGAGCTCTCATCAGTGACCTGTTGGGGTGTGTGACAGCCCCCAGCGACAGCACAGCAGCTGTTAAATGCCTTCACTCACAGGTCTTCCTACAAGATCATTTTCTTTATTTTCATAATAAGAAAAGCAGCTTCTTGATTCTTTTATATGTGGCAAGCAAAATACTTTCCCAGCCCCGTCCTTCGAGGCGATGGTTCCACCGATAGTAAGGTGGATCTCTTTCAATAGCAGTAACAGCGTATTAGAAGAACAATAAAAAGTAGACTATCTAGCACATTATTCCCAGTTAGGAGCCTTGATCACAGCAAAACACCAGCACCAGATCCCTTGCGGAGATTATCTGTAACAAGTACTTTATATGTTCAAGCTCAGAATTTGTCTTGACTTGTCTGGGTAAAACCAGAGATAACAGCACACCTCACTACACTTTTATAAAACTTAAAACATTTGGCGCTTTGCGAAGTGCTTTAGAATGTAGTTAGCAATAGACTAATTAGCAAAGATTTTTTTTCTAGCTGTCTTTACAAGCTGATCAGGTAGCATTTGTATTATTTAAAATTTAAAGCACACACCCCTCCCCCAAAATCAAAAGTAGCTACTCCGCAACTTTTTAACTTACTTTCCTGTGTCTAGCAATTTCATAACATTAACTCAATCCTTTTCAGTGTAAACTAAACCCATCACTAAGGCCGCCACATTCCATTTCCCATCAAACTGAGCATCTTGCAGCTTTTAACATGTATGTTAGAGTGGGCAAAGATTTTTAAAGCCTAGAGATATTCAACAATGATCACATAGTCTATAAAGTTGAAGCAGATAATAGAGATTTATTTTATTTTTTTCTAAAAGTATCCAAGCTTCTACTACTACTGCCAGTTGTAGTTTTCCGAGGCCTTTGGCTGAGTAGAAATGTTCTTTGCCCTTCTCAAGCCAAAAGCATGACTGCAGGAAAGCAAATACCACATTTTATTTCACAGTTAGCTGAGGAACTCACATGCTGTTCTGTGTTGCCTGCAAAATCTCTCACTTAGAGCAGGGAAAATAAGATTTGTTAAAGTTACTTTTGTTAGTGGTCTGAAACTGATAAAGTGCATTTTCCGTATAATTTTTAACACTCTGAACTGCAAACTGCCTGTGCAGGAACGTAGGGGATAAGTACATTTACAGCACCTTACAGCTTCTATTGGAACCAGGATTCAGACGTTGTGCTGGCCGCACGAGCGCGATACCCGCACACCTGCGTGCCCGGGCACGGAGCTGTCACACAGCTCCCTGTGCCGATGCCGGACTGGCTTGCTGACCCTTGCAGGCAAAGCTGCTGCTGGATAACCACCACCGTACGCTTAAGTGACTGTGTAAGACCGGTATCTTCTTACCTTGTAAATTCATTCAGTGACTGCATTGACAGACAGTGTCCTTACTATAACAAAGGCATTTTAGCTGGTTTACTACTACAGTTCCTCTACAGATGAGAATTTTTAAAAAGTATTTATGTGCCTTGAGAACACGATGCTTTGCTTTCCTGAGGTTTGCAGGCCTCATTTGCTAAAGCTCCTGGCAAATACAACTGCTTCCATGTTAAATGAACAAACGAAAAAAGACAACAGAAATAGGAAAGGCATGAAAAGAGGGATAATACAAAAAGCATGTCTTTTGTCCTTATCAGCTCCCAGTTCAACAGGGGGAAAGCCAAGGACACCCCACCTTGAGCCTGAGCTGCTGAACCAGTCACAGCGAGGTACCGCAAACATTTGTTGGGACTGGCTGTGCCAGCGTGCATTGGACAGGAAGGAAAGAAGAGAGAGGACAAATTAGAGGAAGCTGTAACAATAATAAGTAAGAAACAACAGTCCCTCTCCCTCCCCCTGGGGTGTCCATCTTACAAATTCTCCACAATAAAGCAGGAACACAGACCTGTCGCCTTATTCTGTACCTCTGTCTATTTTGGTTGGAGCCTCTTTAGAGCTAGGAAAAGGAAAACCCTGCGACAGGAGTCTCCGAGCTGCCGTGAGCTTCTGTGGGTGTCTAAGTGGCTCTTGCTGTTAGGGATGTTTTGCTTTCCCTATCGTATTCCCAACCCATGCTCTGCAACTTGCCACATTCCCGTGATGGTAAAAGAGACACAAAACTGGCAGCAACTCCTATCCCCTTTTCCTTTCAACCCAGTGGAGATAAACTTTAGGCAGTGGATGGATGCTTTCTTCTCTTCCCCTTTGGGATATTCGGTTTCGTTCTTGGTAGCCTAGTCATTTGGGTACAAGGGAGATTACCTGCTTTTCATTGCCCAGCCCTGGATGCCAAACAGGCATTTACGTACCTTTCTCGTTATATTTAACTAGTGTATCTACTGTTACATCATTACTGTCAAACAACTTTGCAACCTCATCAGAAACCTTGAAAAATCTGGATTCGGGAATTACTTTGTCTCTGCAGTTGTGTCCATCAACATTGCAAATCAGGACTGTAAATTGAAACTCATAACATGAAGTCTTCTCCCTCACTTCTCCCAGGGAAAAGCTAGAATTCATCATCATGGTACTATCGTTTAGATCACTTGGCATGTAAAAGCCAGGCCATGCTTACCGCAAGAGATGGATTTTATTGCAGTTTGTACACTTACATATTGCAGCTTAACACCTCATCAGTAGAGATTCCTCTTCCTGGTAATAGAAAAGAATGGAATCAGTTCCCATCTGAAAGCCAAGCTGAGTATGTAGGGGTTTAGTTATTTAAAAAAACTGTTTTGTCGTTTGGGTTTTTTTAAACTTAGGAACAAATCACCTTGGAGTCAGAAATCCCTGCATCTTGTACATCTATCCTGGCAAAGTCACTTCTCAGGTAAAACAGTATTTCCCACTGGTAAAGCAATGCCTTGCTG